CCCTTTGGACTTTCAGGTATAATGTCTAAAAAAGTTTGTAAGATAGTGATCAAAATCATCATGAATCATCATTTGCTTGAAATAAATATCAGAGGGAAAACTCACTGGATTTTAGTCATTAGTTTTCAAGGTTTCACATGATCAAGTACATTTTTGGAGTCAAGCGATCAACAGTCATTGGGATCAATACTTGTTAACGTTTGAATCCCGGTCCATCCAGATTGTTGTGGAGATTGAGGCGCATTACTGAAACGCTGGACTAACACCCTCATGTCTACAGCACGGCCTCTCGTGTGACGCTGTTAGCAGCAGCATGAGGTGTCGCTCAGTCCGCATTTCACAAGAATGATTCCTTCGCATGTTCGTCCGGGTGAGTCACCTGTGTGATCTTATCAAATGAGCTGTGGCTGCTGCCCTCGACTCATTAAACCTCAGGACCGCGGTGCGGAACTGTCATGTCTCTCAAAATGAGCCTGGAGACGCTCTTGTGGGCTGAAGAGCCCTCGTCATCATCATCATCAGCACACGGAAAGCAGCACAAAGCAGCAGTATGATTGAAGCTTGTTTGAACTAATCGTGTAAGTGGCTCTTTCGTTTACTGAGGCAGAGTTCAGATTTAGACGGTTTATAACTTCCTCAATTAGAAAGTAGTTTTTATTGAGGCTTTTTGCCAAATACTGCCCTTCCAGCAGAGCTTGGGAGCAACGTGAAGATGAAAGCAATTACAAGGAATAATGTATTTAGTTATAATGTGAGTTAATCATTCATCAAGTGAACAGCGACAGATGGATTCACTTTCCCAATGCTATGGTCAAGGTTTGGTTAGGTTTAGGGAAAAAACGTTGAAATAAAGTTGAAATAAAGTTGAAATAAGAATTTAAAGACTAAAGGGCCTTTGTCGTCATGGTTACGATAATAAACACTGACTTGTCGGTTTGAAATGAAGTCAAAATGGAAATGAACAACAGTCTCCCATGTTAAAGTCCAATGTTTTGTCGACCTCCCAATGCAGGCTTTGCGTCACCTGACGTCCTCCTTTGCTCCTGTCATATACTCACTACGGCCACTAGAGGGGTTTATCACTTGAATGTAAACAAAAGGGGTGGGATACTGGAATACCTTATATTACTTCGTCTTGTGATGCACTGGCACTAAATATCTATATTTTTACTAGAAAGATTTCAAAGCCACAAAGAAGAAAAGTGAGTCAGAAACACAAGCTATATCGGCTGTAGATCTCATGCTCTCATCAGGATCACGCTGGAGGTGGTGGAAAGTAAGAAATAATTGGAGAAAAATGTCCATGAGATTTGACACCAGAGCCCCAAAATAGCCGCTCTGCCCTTCTGTCTCCCTCCTCTGCCACCTTCTGTGGATCAGCACGCTAACAAAATACAGCTCCGTCTCATATCTGAGGCCACAAATATGGAATGACAAGGTTGCACAGCGTCTTTGTTCCACTTCACAGAAAAGATAGTCACAGCTCGCCACGGGAAGAGCTGCACGGGGACGTCTTCAGTGAGCCGGCTGCCCCTTTCTGTTTGCACTCCCAATATACTCGAGCTGCTCTGTGGTTTCCTCTACAAGGATTACCACCGCGTCGTATCGACACACCGGGCTTTACCCTCAGTCTTAATGTGTTTGAATGTGTCTGAATAGTGATGAGTAGGTGACATCGGTCAATACTTATGGATCGGCCTCAATTAAAGTTCACTTTTTAACCGGGCATGACTAAGGGTGTTTTATTAGGAAATCACAGTCGGCCATGAAGCGCAGGAAACACCCACTGGGATGTCGGCCGCCAGGTAACAAAGCACCCGACTGTTTGTGAACAGGGCTGGTGAAGGTCAAACAATGTCCTCTCTGTAAACAGTCACACATGGACAAAACATATCAATGTTAAAATGAAGTATGAAGCATAAGAGTATGAAGGTTATGAAGGTGCTTTGACAAGTTAAGTGGACCTACTCTGCAGCATTTATTCCACATTGTTCTTAGGGCTGTCACAATATCAGATTTCACAACACGATCATGACCAATAGAATTCACAATAACTATATTATTGCAATATCTATAGAAAAAAAAATGCTCTTAGTCAAATTTATCTTAAACTTTGTTTATTGTGTGTTTATTGTCTCTTGTTTGGTAAATGAATTAGACTCAAATATGACTCTAGGGAGATGGAGAGTCTGTAACCAACAATTACACTTAACAGTTAGGCCAAGGCCAAACAACTGCCATTTCAATATTATCATATGTGTATTATGAATACAATATCAACATTTTACTTTTTAAATATCAGTTATCATCAATATTGGTATATCGCGGCACCCTTAACTGTGTTACTAGGGTTTTGGCTGATATGTGCTGATCTTCCATTTCCCTGCCACAAGATGCGATAATGCACCAACCCAATGCACTGGATTGGACTCAGTGCCCGAGACATATGTATTTGACTAAACAATCTTTTATTATGATTGTGTTCTGGAGCCTTTGTTTATATCACATGATCTGTCATGCAATTATATATGGCTCAACAGTTGAGATTTAAAGTTCGTTCTTGACCTTTTAAACAGTAGCTGTTCGGAAGTATTGTCCAGATACGGAAGAAACCTGCAATAACTGATTGTTTTTGCCACTTGGGGGCAGCAGAAACTAGTTGCGAACACAACATTGCCATATTGTCACCTTTGGAAGTTGATATTTCGACCTTGTTAGCAAACAGTTGCTTATTTACTCAGCAGTTACAGAGAGGCATCGTTCATTCATTGGAGTTGTGTATTTGGTCTCTACCAATTTTGGTGGATAAAAAAAAAAAAAAGTTCTAAAATTTCTAAACGTTTTAGATAAATATAATTGCATTTTTCATACGAGTTATGCACTTTCAATTCTTTTTAAATTGAAAAAGAACTGGTTTGAGATCAGTATTTGGTTTCAGCTGATACCCTACTATGTAGATGTCAAACTCTGCAATCAAGAGAAAAGTGGAATCCATCCATTTGAAAGAGACAGGAATGGTGCGGTTCAAACGAGAAGACATTAAACCTCTACACTGAAAGACAACAGGAGACGTGTAGTAGCCCATGTAGTAGGTGCTTCCCTCAAAAAGTATCGTAGAATGTTTGTTGATTCAAATCTCTAACCCTGGCCCATGTCACCCTTTTAGATAAACTCCACACATGTGCATGAGTAAAACTGTGGAAAGCGGTCATAAAAAACAGAGTAAATGAAGTATGTGGATATATTATTGAGAAGGATATGGAGAGAAGAAGGAAAAATGATAGCAAATGTTACGGGGGAGGGCTATTTACGCAACTACCAGTGAATTACTGCCAAGCAAAATATCCAAACTTCTCCACTGCTGGGCAGCCAACAGTAAACAGATTCAGTTATCATGAGCAGCTCCCAAGTGTGAATTCAGTGCACTGTATAAATGAAGAGGTGTGCTGCTGACAGAGTGTTTATGCCCTGATATCAGACTGGTTGGAACATTGAAAAAACAATAAAGAGCCTCCATCAGGCAGCAACACTCCCGAGACAAGAAGTAGAGAAGAAAAGCAGAAGCAGAAGGAGGAAGAGAGAGAAGAGCAATTTGTTTCTAGACTCTCGGAGGATGGAAAATGAGACAGAGGTCAGGGTTATGCTTCGCTGCAGCGCAGGATTGTGCGGAGGAATGATGCTCGTCTGCATCCTTCGCCTGAGAGTTCTGAATCTCTGGGCATGTGTCTGGCTGAATCATCCGGCCTTTGAAACGAGTTCACCATTTTCCATTTTTGAAAAGGTAATTTGCAGATTGTCACTTATGTTTTGCAACTACAAAGAAGGGACAGACACGGAGAGAGAGAGAGAGAGAGAGAGAGAGAGTGCAGGACGTGGACTTCATGGGTTTTTTGCTCGTTAGTGATGACTGAAAATTTGATTTCTGTAATGGGATAAAAATGTCACCATGAAAGGACAATAAGATTGTTATTAAGTTACTGCTGATGACAAATCTGGAATAAGGTTGTTATGAAGATGATTGAGGACAACATTAAGATTTGCATCGCAAAAACAAACACAATCCATCAGACTGGAACGCTTTCCATATTTATTCTAATGTTCCTGAAAGCCTCACCAATAGCTCAGTAAGTGAACACTGAGTTCACACTGATGAGCCAAAACATTATGACCATTCACAGGTGAAACAAATAACACTGATTACCTTGTAATTGTGGTGCATATCAAGGTCTGAGATATACACTGAACAAAAATATACACACTAGAAGCTCCCATTTCTTATGAGTTGAAATCAAAGATTTTTTTCCTGCCACACACAAAAGGCCTCTCTCTTTCTCTCAAATCTTCTTCACAAATGTGTTTAAATCCGTGTTGGTGAGAATTTCTCCTCTGCCGAGATAACCTGTCCTCCTCACAGGTGTGACATATCAAGGCGCTGATTACACAGCATGATTACTGCACAGGTGCAGGTGTGCCGTGGGCTGGTCACAGTAAAAAGCTGCTTTAAAAATGCTCCATGGCTGACATGTCTGGTGACTACACAGGTCACGCAAGAACTGGGATGTTTTAAGCTTCCAGGAATTGTGTACACCATGATGCAACATGAGGCGATGGCGGCGGATGAATGGTACGGCGACAGCATGGCCACAGGATCTCGACACGGTATATCTCTGTGTGTGTGTGTGTGTGTGTGTGTGTGTGTGTGTCTGTGTGTATCCACTGTGTTTATAGAAAAACTCTTCTATAAATCTCTTTTATTTCAACTCTGAAATGCCTTGTGTGGTGGTCCCAGTCAGCAGTGGTGATGACAACCTACTGACAGTGGTCCAAGGAGGAACGGTGGTCCTAACTGGCGAGCCATGAAACGTCTATCCTGTCTAGTTAGAACCAATAAAAAGCTACTGTTTCGCAAGTTGAAGAGAATTTTAATGAGGGTTGTATGTGCTCCCAAATCCGGGAGTGACCCTCCACACTCAACAGGTAATAATGAATGGTAATCTTACCTCATCGTACTTGCAAGCAGCATCTGCCAGACTGCTGGTTTCACCCAGTAGACTGAGGTCCAGCTCACTGGGGCCTGAACACAGAAAATACACCACAATCATCAAACTTGACTCAGTTAGGTTTAGAGGAATTGATCAACATTTTGGGTGATACTCTTATTTGGTTACATAGATGTGAAGATGAATGTGTCTCGTGTGTGTGTGTGTGTGTGTGTGCGCGTTAAGTGTGGGGCTAGAGACCACAGGTGATTAGCCTCCTAGTTAGACCCTGTCCTGCATATTATGTTTATATATTACAAAATAATTTCCTCAGTCACATGGCAGGGTCATTTTCAGAGGCATTGGGTTTTTTTTTTTATGAATGACTGAAGCACTACATTTATAAACTACACCAGAGTCAGTGGTAGGTGGTCGGGTGGATGTGTGTGCCTCTGTCAAGGTTCGGAAAGGACTGCGGTTTTCATTCAATGTAAATAAACACGTTCTCTCACTGTGAACCTTTTCTGTATTAAATCAGACCATCTTTCTCTAATAATGCTGTAGTCACTGCAAGTGGATGTTGACCTGCAAGATCAGACACATTGGCAGAAAAGAAATTAAATTTCACTGAAGTATTCACTATCAACATGTTTGTGACCTGTCAAATGTCAATTAACTACATATCCTCTTTATTTTTAATAGAAAATGTCACAGTTATATTTCCTTCAAAACGTTGTGTATAGACATAATTTCTAGGACACAGGGGTTGCCTGGTTGCCTGGCAATGATGGCAAGACTCCAGGAAGCCGCTGGGCTCGGCTGTTGTTTGTCAAGAAACATTTACAGCACATATTCGCCCTGTAAGACCTCAAACTGTTGTTTTTAGATTACATTCTTACATTTGTGTAACAATAGTCTTATTTTTTAATTCGTTGCAAATGAGTGTATTCCCTAATATGTTAAATTATTTCTCACATGAGAAGCAGCAAATCCTCATTTTTAAGAGGCTGGAATAATTATTGAAATTTGACTAAATTTTTTTCAACAGTCACATCTCATGTCTGGAAAATGTCACATAGAACATAGAAAAGGAAAAACATAAGAAATCTTGGATCCGTTTCTGAGCTGACGGCTATAAAAAAGTAATGTTGGTACTGTTAGCTGTCAAGGCCAGTAGTATATGGATTAATGTATGAAGATGAATACTTGTATATATGTATATTGCATGATCTCTTTGCATTACATAGGAGCTAATTTTATCCCTGCACCATGTGCACCACAACAGCACGGAAAGCGACATCTAATTTCCAGATGTAGACACACCGCTGCACATCTGCACTTTGACTTTCAGTCTAAGTGACACTATGCAAAGCAGGGAAACAGAATATCTACAAATCAAGATTCTGAGATTTTAACTCCAGAAATCCCTGAACCTGAAGTGAACCTGAACTTCCTCCTGTCAGAAAGCAGCTGAGGGGTGATGCTGTGATAAATTCTAACACATTGCATCTTCATCCTTTTTCCTCAGTGGAAATGGGTCGTGAATAACACTTCCCCCTGGCAGATCTTTCTTTCCTGCATGCCACAGCCTCCTGATTAGAGAACTGGGTTAGATTCTGTGAGGATGCAGCTTCAAACATTCAGGCAGATTCCAGAGAGACAGCAGCTGTGAATTCCTTCGATGCATTATTTGAAAAAAAAAGAAAATAAACTCAGAATCCACCACATTTACAGAGAAAAACGGCAAACAAAAACAACCCAGTGTACTCTCTACAGTTCACAACTTAAAGAGTCAGCAGCACGTCAGAGTGCATCTCGTCTTCGGCGAGCGAGGGGGGCGAGGTATGACAGCGTGGAGTTTTTCTGTGTAGCTTTTGAGGCCAGTGATGTCAGGTGGCCGAGGCTGCGTTCGTCAGCAGCGCTTCACTTTGGTCCGCACGTGCGGCTGCGATGATCACGGCCTGGGGATGGACCAGGCTGGGGGAGAGAGAGGCAGCAGTGGGAGAAATGTGGCAGATGGACCTGAAGGCAATTTCTCTCAAAGAGTTTGCCGTAACAACAACTGCCAATCTATTTTTAAATTTCACTTGATCTTTCTTGTTTCCTGCAGCTTCTCCTTATACTTTTTCTTTGCGATGTAAAGACATCGCCTGATCGCCGAGAGTTTCACAGAGCAAAAATAGACCTTTTAGTGGTCTTTTCAAATTGCACTCCGCTCAGTATGTTGTTCTTTTTATTCCTGTGTGGAACACCTATTGGGAGGCTCCATTATGGAAAATAATGTCCAATATGTGAAAGAACATCTAGAAAAATGCTCTTTAATGCATCTCAAAGTGCAGCTACATATAGTAAGTGGACTGTCGATGAGGAGCTCTCTCAGCCAATTATGCGCTATATGAGAAAAAGATCAATCTGTGAAGTTCCTCAATTCTACAAGGGTAATATATTATCTTAAGAACTATATAATGATGGTTCAGTAGAAATCAGTGAACATTAAGAGGGTTCAGTGGCTTTTCACAGGAGGTAAGTGATCTTTTCTCAGTTAATGAGAGCCTGAATGTTTCTCGTTTGTTCAAGGATCTATTTTTGAGATTCTGTTGCTCAAGTGGTGTAACTGCAGAGGTTTTTTTTTTTTTAATTTAAAAAATTTTTTTTTTATCACCTTTGTCTGTTTGGTATTTTGGTTGTTTTGTCATGAAGCAGACTGCTCTCAAGTGTGAGGAGAGGAGCTGCAGAAGTGTGTCAGGTAGCTGTCAAGTATAGCACAAGCCAATTTTGATGTCAAAGATGTGCAAACGTGAGCTTCAGTCCTATTATGTGCTTGGCCTTCATCGCTGGATATTTGGATTCTAGATAGAAATCTTTCTTGATGGATGATTTGAGGCTCAATTTCACTTGAATATCAATCCTTCAAGCAAAAGATTGAGTTTAGTGTTATAGTAATGCCACACAAAGAATGTCTCTACATGTCCACCATGAGCTTCCTCTGGATCCTCGCTTATTGTAACTGATTATATCATGGGGCAGCAGCTCTCTTCTGATCAAAACAACTCTGTATCCAAACACCTTTTTCTCCTCCTGAATGATTTTTGAGGTGCTATATGTTCTCTCGTTGTGATTCTGCACCTCCTGACACAAACCTGGGTTTCCTCCTGAGTGAATCTGTTGTGGTGAATCTGCTCTGCAGACTGTTCCCTTCATCACAACATCACCAAAGCAGTTTGCCTTCGCTTTTGCAGAGAAGGAGAACAGGCAATTTGACTGATCGCCTTCATCAAATGCCTTAATGACAGCCAAGATGGCTGAAAACGCTTGGTGAACAAAGCATGGTGTATTGGAGAAAGAGTTATCTGACATATGGGCCACTGTTAGCTTATTGCAGATATAGGTATCTGTGTATTTGTTCGACCAACAAGTAACAAGAATTGCAATTCACCATTACATCGCTCGTCTACCAGAGAATGAGAATGAGTGTTAATTACTGAGCTTTAGTCGTACTGACAGAGGATAATTGTTTCCCCTTGTTTCAAGCAGGTTCTAAATGTGTTGGTCTCTACAGCTGTTAAATAAAACCTCTGCTTGTGCCTTGGAAATAAGTGAAGTTATACCAGAAATCCCTACCATGCTATGCTAAGAGAAGCTGCTGGCTGTAGCCTTATGTTTGACTTGTATTATGAGAGGGTATCAATCTTTTTCTCCATCAGAAAATGATTAAGAATATTTCCCAAAATGTGACACTGTTCCTTTAATAGCCAAATTTGGGGGAACTATGGCAAAAATGTTTGTTTATGTTATGCGTTTGTGGAAAAAAAAAAGGAATATGAAATTATATATAATGATCAGATTTGTCTGTATAAAAACAGATCTACAAAGGAAAAAACATTCAGGATTCCTTTTCCTCAAAAGAAAAAAAAAGTGTTGTACCAAAATGTGCTACAGTTAAAGCAGAGGATACTCCGCAGCTAGTCTGCCTTTACACTTCAAAAGATGTGGGGTTTCTGTGCTGTGTGGCCACATTTACAAGTTACACTTCATCATCCAGAAAAGTAATGGCTGCATTGCAACTGAAACAGGCATATTTTGCCAGCTGAGTTGTGTGCCAGCGGTAATATTTCTTCCTTTCACTAAACCCTTTTATGATCTCTATCACTTATGAAATCCCTGCGGACGTTGACTGATCGTATAGACAGACGTGTGTGTGGCTGTGTCAGTCAGACCTTGACTGAAGGTGAGGAACACTCAGATCTGTCTGGGACATTTTTAAAAATGGTAAATGATGGGGTTTTACATTACACAAACTGGTCGTCTCCGTCACGCCATCTGAGGATCAAAGACTCATTCTAACCTTGTTGATTCTGTTTTTCTCACAAAGCGTGGCTAACCCTGCTTCACTGGTTGCTATGCCAACTCTTGTGGTAACCAGGGAGCTGGTGGGTGATGTTTTTGGTTTTCACTTGTTCTCTCTTCTTGTGTATGTGGACTGTTTTGGAGAAGCCCTTCATCACTGCACACATGCACTGGTAAAGGGAATAAATCCTCTTGGTGCTCTTCATGGTGACTGTAGGTGTTCTGATGCTGGACTCAGAGCTGCTGATTGCATCATGTTTCATCATTATTTGGCCCATAGCCACAGTAACGAATGCCCTCTACTACATTGAATGTATGTGCAAACACACATGTTGCAACATTATAATTTTTTACTTGTTATGACGTCTTAACAAAACCTCTCTTCTGGGAACATTAAATTTGATCCAATGCTGGCTGCCTATTGTAGCCGTGGAACATACACTACCTTTTGCACAGCGGTGGAAGTTTTCAGATCTTTCACTTAAGTAAAAGTAGCAACACCACAGTGCAGAAATACTTGTACAAACAAAAAGGTCTTGCATTCAAAATTTTACTAAAGTCAAAGTACAAAAGTATTTGCATCAAAATATCTTGATTGTAAATGTCTTTTCCTAACCTACAATAATCTGATTATTTTATATATTATTAATCTGAATATGCAAAGTATACAGTTACCAAATAAATATAGCGCAGTAAAAAGTATGTTTGCCTCTGAATTATTGGGGTGTAGAAGTATAATGTGTCATAAAATGGAAATACTCTTTAATAACTATTTGCAGTACTACAAAATAAACAGCAGTGTCTACAGATGACATTCATATACAACTGCACTTACACTGGATAATATTACAGCCCGAATTAGTCGTGTCATCAACATAATGAGAAACACATCTGCAAATTGTTTACTGTCAGTGTTTTTCTGTTTAACTTCCAACAGCAGGGCTTCAACTAATGATTATTTTCATTATCAACTAATCTGTTTTCTCAATTAATTGATATTATTTATCAATAAAATGCCAATTAAAATTTCTAACAGGGTGTCAAGGTGACATCTTCCTACTGCTTGTTATGTATGACCAACAGTTCAAAACCCAAACATATTCAGTTTATTGTCACACACGACAAAGAAAAGCATAAAATCTGCACATTTACACAATTATTCGATTATCAAAAACCTATAATCAATCCACTAATTGTTGAAGCTCCAACATACAACTTTGCCTGGAAACTAAATCATGATTCAGGTTTAGAAAAGTCAGACTTTAAGTAATGTTTTGCTGGTTTTTTAAATGTGTTTTGCCTTAAAACGTCTCTTGAAGTGTCTGTAACTGTTTTATAAAACAAGAGTTCATCTCACCGGCTGCAGGCTCTTTGGAGGGAAACAGCTTGTTGTCCAAAGTCATGCTGATGTCGCAGAAGACCTCCTCTTCATCTCGGTCAGCATCCAACTGAAAGGAATAGAGAAAAAACATTTTAACTTGATCCTCCATCCATTTCTTTAAGTACACGCAACTCAGACATCTCATCCAAACTTTTGATTTCATGCGCTAATGTAATGTATTTACATATATTGAATTTCCATGTATGATATATATGTACATATAAAATCAAAATAACATACATAAAAATTATAAATGAAACCTATGTTATATACTGACATATATGTCTAGCCCATACAAATATGTATGTTTATGTATGTATACTTATATTGTATATATATGTAAATATGTATCCATCCCAAAGGCTGTCCATATATGTTGATATTATACACAGTGGGGGTCCACTTTCCCATGTGAATGTGGATGTGTCAATGCTTTTTTCACTGGGAAATCTGAGTAATATCTTTAAAAAAGGTGATATAGTTTGCAGACAAAGGCTACACAAAAGTCATGACCTTAACCCACAAGATCAGAAGTAAAGCGGACATGCTCGGTCGGAGTTAAGCTGCTGTGACATCCAGAATGAGGCTCATTATAAGATCAAACATAAGAAATGAGCTCAGGCCCTGGGAGCTACACACTTGGGTTATTTTGTATTCAACACACAGCAGAAGCTTTAATAACACTTTAATTAGCCTCTCCCTCTGTCAGTTGGTCTCCGTTAGATTATTCGGCGGTCGGCTGCCTCCCTTTGCACGTACAGTATTGGCTAAATTGGCCATGAAGAATCTGCTTTGTGAATGAAGTAGAAGCAGACTCCTCCTCCCTGATCTGCTCTGTGTCGTCCTTCTGTTCTCATGTGTGCACGCAAAAACGGGTAAAAGTAAACAGACTGGGTGTAATTGTTCTCAGTTTCAGGTGTGTGATTCTCAGCACTAAGCTAAATAAATAAACGAACGGATGTCAGCGGTGCGAGTGGAGGTCAAACAAATGTAAGATAAGGATAACCCACAACCAGCACTTCCTCCTGGGGTTTCCATGGTAACAACCTAAAAAAAGAGGCCGGTCCCCCGAGCCCTCGAGAGCCGTGCGAGTACACCTGCAGAAAAGGAGTGAACGGGATCAAACTGAGGATTCCCTGGGGAGTGTGGCATTCAAAAAACCCATCAGGGTACTCAGAGTACTCACATCTCACCGTCACATCTCACCGTCACATCTCACCATGTCTGGCATCAAGAGCAGAAAAAGTGTCTGTAGTGTCTTTCTAACCTAAATGTGTTCCTACTCCAACAGAGAGGCTCTGTGAAGTCCATTTATTCTTACAGGACGCTGCATGAGAGAGTGTCATTTTTCAAGGACGGATGGGAAAGCTCTACCTTCGTCTGAATGACTCAATGTCAGTACAGTATCCTCAATATCAACTTCCCTCGCAGCAAAGTTCATGCGTCTGCTAATAATCATGACTAATGCTGTATCCACACTAAGCCCAGCTAAATCTGAAGACGCTGTGTCCACACTAGAAAATAAGGTTTTAGATCTCTTTTTTTTCACAAAATGGCAAACAACAAAATAAACATCAACATTAGTGAAATGTAATCTATAGAAGGCAGAGCTGAAATAACTGTGAGGGGGATGTTCACAGAGAGGTAGAGGCAATAGAAAGTTGTCTTCATATACAGCTTGAAACCGGATCTGATCAGGCTTACGTCATCATTTTTCAAAAGCTCACTTTTCATCATCCACGCTAAAATGGGAGCATTTTAAAGGACCACTGTGTAGGATTTAGTGGCGTCTTGCGGTGAGTGTAAAAATGAGAAAAGCCCTTGGTTTGTCTATTCTTGGCTACTGTAGAAACATGGTGATCCAACATGGCGGGCTCAGTGGAAGAGGACCCACCAGCTCTTTCTAAGCTAACGAAAACACAAGGATTCTTAGTTTCAGGTGACTATACACCAAGCGGCAACTTCCGAGGCAGAAAAATGAAGCCAACACAGCCAACACTTCTTCGAATGGCTGCTTGAGTCTGGCTGCACAAGCGAGTCAATCCCCATAGACTCCCATGTTAAAATGTTCAAATTTACAGCAGAAATAAACATGTTTACTGCCTGGTACAGAAAACTGTTTTGGTTTGGCTAATTTCCTCCTTCATGACAACTGTGCGGGGTGTAAATATTATTAAGGCTTAAAGTTCTGCATAATTGAGGTCGTGCCGCTTTGAGTGACAGGAGGGTGAGCCTACGCCTGCCACAAGCCAGCATGCACCGAAGTCTTGGCTCAACACAAGCCCCTCCTCTTTGGATTAGCCGGGAGTTCGGCGGAGTCAGGTACTGACAAGATGATGATGGCAGAACGTCCCACTCTGAGCTTCAGCACCACGCCTCAGAAACCTGTGGGTGACATCACGGAAGCTACGTCCAGCTACAGTCTATTTTAACCACTAAAGAAAACATGATTTTGAATATTATATTCCATTTCTGCCATTTCTGGTTCTTTAATGTGAATGAAGCATTTTCAGATTCATCCATTGGGGATTTGGATTTTGAAAAAAATCCTAAAATGTCTTTTTTTTAAAAATCCATAGATAGACTTGTGGATCGCCACAGCAGAGTGATTAGGATTTCTGTTCACGAATGCACCATCCCCTCCCAAAAATAAATCACCTTAAAATTGACAGGGGGAAGAGCAATTGGCCTTCGCGTTCTCTGCCATCAATATTATAATCAATATGAAAGTACATCCTTTTGCCAAAATGTTATCCAAGTAACTGCATTACCTTCATGTATTGAACATGTTTATGTATAAAAAGATTCATCTTTTTATATAGTGCGCTGATAAGTTGAAGTGAATGAAAAGCCCTCATCCATTATCTCAAAGATCCCCAAGAAGGAGAAGCAGATTAAAGGAAACACATGAATCAGAAAGGGAGTCTTAAGCTTTTGAAACGGGATAATGCAGCAGCTCCATTAGTGCTCTGCAATAGAGGCTGCAACTCTTTTCAAGAGAATATTTTGTCCATCCAGTGTAATCTGTTTGATCATCTGAGTGAATTCATGTGAAGTTCTACAAGAGTTTGAGCTGAAGGAATTTGGGAAATTGATTCTCCCTGCACACTTCAACAATAAATACCTTCCAGTTTTCTTTCAAGTTATGTGAAGCTCAAAGTTGTCACTCTCTTGTGAAGAACACAGAGAAAACAGAAGAGCTATAAACAGACAGAAATATGATATGGATCCAAATGAATCTAAAGATCCAGTAGAAATGAAAGGCCATCTCTTCAAAGCGAGAGACATCTTTTTTTTAACATGAGGACTGCTGTTCATACTTTTACTGATTAGTTACGATGCCTGCATCTCATATATATTTCGGGAATAATGAACAAATACCTTAGAGACAAGAGACCCAGAGAGTCTCTTGTTTGTATCTGTGTGGCATCAAGCGGCACGTGGGACCGAAGCTGGAGCTGAACTCCCTCAGCAAAAACTTAATTACAGTCGCTCCTCCCTGCGATTTCCGGGTAGGGTTTATTGTGGAGGTGTGTGTGTTTTTGTGTTTTTGATAAGTTGAGTCAGCATAGATGGAAAAAAAAGCAAAACAAAAGAAACAGGCTTTCATTTGAACATCGTCATCACTTTTGACATGAAAATCTAAATGTCAATATTTGAATCGCACGCAGAGAATTACTGAAAACTGACAAGAGCTCCAAAATGAAACCGCTGAGCAGCTCAGAGGTGACAACGTCCTAACAGCGACAGAAGCGAGATGAGTTCATTCAGTGAAACATCAAGAATTAATAGACTCGTAGACGTATGTATTGACAATTCAGTCATTCCTATTCAGGGTTGACGATGTGGAGTAATGAGTCATTGCAGTTGTTCTTTTATAGAGTTATGTCTTCCCATATTGAACCTGACATTTAAAATGAAAGGATCACTCTCACACAAAAGCCTTCTGCAGAGCAAAAGCAATTAAGCCTCAGAGGTTATTGCATTCATTAGTCAAGAAAGTATTGAGTCCCTCTCTTGGGATAACTACTGAAGAACAAGGGGGAAACTTATTCAATCAAAAACAATATGTTCCTGTGCTCGGATCAGACTGAAATGTAATATTGTGCACAAAATTTTACAAACATTATTTGTGTTTTATTCTAGTTCATTAGAAAATAGATAATTGGCGATAAGACAACGGAACAATACAACTGAAAGAAAGCGGAATAAAGTATGCGTCACTGTGTTCACCAGCTCGTCTCTAACGTTGTCTGTCTGATGTTTGATGACGAGAACCGCCCAAGTGTTCAGCACGTACATCAATTGTCATGCGTTTTTTTTTTTTTTTTTTTTTTTTTTTTAAAAGGGGGGGGGGGTGAAAAGCGTGTCACACTCTGCCGGCCTTTGATTGGGATGATTTGACAAGCAAGAGACACACTGAGAGTGAAGGGGGAGTGACACTGTTTGTCTGAGACTCCCTGTTACTGAATGTTGACGCTGAGGCTCACAAAGAGAGTGGCAACAGCAATTCACAGAGAGGGGTGGGGGGGGTGCAATCCATTGATCAGCTCTCAAAATGTTCAAATCACAGGTGTAGGGAAAGGAAATTGGTTAGACCCCAGGTGTTTTTACAAAAAAAAAAAGTCAAATGTCAAACTGCAGAGGTGCAGTCAGTGTACCTGTGAGGGATCTTGGTTGGCGTAAGAGATTTAAATGTTTTTACCTGTAATTTATGGCAGATGTAATATGTCAGGTGTCATTATTTACAGCTATACTGACCTATGATGTTATATCAGCCGTAAACTACATTAGAGTCAACTGGAACTTCCAGGTTCTGTTCATTATGTCAGAAAACTTCATTCAAAATCCCATTGACATCTGTACTAATAACTTAAAATCCAGCCTCGGAACAAAGGCTTTCTCAACAGTGTGTCGCATGGCTCGCTTCATGTGTTATGATAAGGACACAATGTATCATTGTTTATTCAATATTTACATGCATATCCATGATAAGCCCAGACGGGTGATGTCATGTCCACAATTCACCAAATTACAAATACTTACCCACATGGGCTTGTGGGGAATTTGGCTTGAGACAGTTTTACAGCACAACGTGCCTTTATTTACAAGAAACACAATACTTCAGAATCATTTAGTCAGTGTGTCTTAATTAAGTTGACTCCATGGGGAATGTAGGGAGGATGTGGAGAGAGTTTCAACAAGTAGCAGGCTGCAGAAATTTACTATTTAGTGAGCTCATCTGTAAAATGCAAAAAAACTTTTAGACACTCAGGTCATATTCACCGTTTTTCTGTCTTGCAGCATGAGCGCAATGCATGATGGTATATATTGCTTGGTTAGTGACCATCGGTTGTAGACTACTTTTCATGGTGCATTGTGGGATACTGTGAGTCCACTATGTAGGGTATGACAATCCTCACTATACAGTCAGACAGCACTACAAAATGGCAAACTCACTATAGAGTGGACTATACAGTGAGTGATTTCGGACACAGCCGTGGACTATACTGAGAGTGGCGTACACTTCGTCACCATGGTTACTATAATGATGATCATGGCTTGGTTAGGTTTTTGGTTATCTCGTCATTTGGGTTAAAACAAGTGTTTCTTTGGTCATGAACAAACTATATAACTACAGTACACTGTAACTACATGGCATGCCACTGCTCCGTGATACATGTAAAATCATTTCACCATAATTGCAGAAAACCACTTTTAACCTAACGGCGTCACTAGTCGTCATCTTGGTGTCTCTTTTCATTGTTATGCTGATGACTCACAGCTACCTGATGAGTCTTTCTAACCTTGTGCGCTCACCTCCAGAATGTGAGCTGGATTTAAATTCACCGAACAGCAAATAACTTTTTTCTCAGTTCAACTCAACTCTGTCTGAACAGGAAGTTACAAGTTCAGTTAAATCCCATACCAAAAACCTGCGACACTGCATGTCAACTTCCCTTTTAATCATTCTATCGCTGCTCGTCTGTTGAGGAGGATTAGAGCCGCCCTCATTTTAAAGACACTAAACGCTTCTCTTTTCTTGTCTTAGTCAAAAAGGGCTTTGAACTAGAATTAAGAAATGGGATCGTGTTACTTTAACTGTCCTGTACTGGCGGTCTAAACGTGTTAGGATTAGTTTTAGAGTTTATAAAGTAATTCACGACACCTGACATCTACAAAGCTGCAGTCTTTTATCCCATTTATCCCGTCTTTGATTCTGCTCGACTTATTTTCATTCCCGTATTTTACTTGTATTGTTTCTCACTGTATTTCTGCTGTAAAGTGCTTTGTATCCTTTGTTGGCAGAGGTTCTCTCTCTCTGTCTCTCTCTCTCTCTCTCTATATATATATATATATATATAAAGTTTATTATTAGAATTTTCTGTCTGGAGCTTTTCTTAGCAAAGATAGTCTAAAGTGCTTTGATTAAAAAAAAAAGGGGGCACCATTGTCTGTGGCTTCACCTCACAGAGGTTTACTGTAGCTTCATGCTGAGGTGGATTGTTTTTCATTATTCTGGCTGACACAGAGGGCTGCTGGGTAATAATATAAAATAATAATAACCATGCTTTAGAGTGTGAATATATCTATATCTATTCTCTCAGTCAGAGAGGCTGTGAAGTGTCTGCGGGAGCGCACACAGTCGCCACCAACAACAGACAAACTGTGAAAATGACAGATTTCTTACTTAACCACAAGGGAATAAATATTTTTCTGTGAACAGCCAAGATTAAATAGTGTAATTGAGACACCTAATGTATACAGTACCCACGCAGATCTGGTAATACACTTTGTTTGTACATTGCTTCCAACATTAAAGAAAAACAAAAGACTATGAAACACTATGAAAATAGATTCAATCTAGTTTCAGATTCTAAACTGTGAATATTTTCTGGTTTCCTTCGTCTCCTGTGATAGTAAAGGGAATATCTTTCTGATTTTGGGCCGTTGCTCGGACAAATAGTGACATTTGGAGATAACATCTTATGATGGACCTTTTCTTTTTTTTTTCTTTTTTTTTGCTATTTTCTGACATTTTATGGTCCAAACAATTAACTGATTAATCAAAGAAATGCTGTTCATGACAAATCAATACTGAGAATAATTGTTAGTTGCCACTCTGTTGTCTGAACACACCAGAAATGAGCCTAAATCAGAAGCTGATGAAAAATAAAGAAGAGTACAAATGTGAGAAAGCTTTTTTGCTGCCAACTTTTGATACTTGACTGTTTTCGATACTCGGTGCTCCTGACAAATTTCAGTCACTACCAAAATAGTGCTGAGCTGCAATACACAACATTAAATGTCAGTCTTGAAGATACAGGAAACCTCCTGTAAAAGCAGATAAAGGAAAGTGGTCGAAATCACAACCGAAATCAGCAAATGGATGTTTTTTTTTGTTTTTTTTTTTGTTCCTAGATGAGTGACATAGATTAACATCACCAAGGCTGGACCACAACAACATACCACACACAGGTGAGGTGGCAAGAAGCACGATTCTAGTGTATTCATGAAATCGTGTGGAGACACGCTCCCCAGGTCTGCTCTGCTTTCCACCCGCAGCCCAAAGACATGTGGATTAGTTGAATTTGAAACAAACAGCCTGTAGGTGTGCGACGGTATGAACCCTCTGACAAACGGGCTTATTGCTCGCTGGTACAGGCTCTTGGAAACCTTAACAGGCTAAGCAGGAACATGGCAAACATGTATACAGAACTGTGAACTGTGACAAAACACGAGAGCAGGAGGAAAGAGACAGTCAGGCAATCATCCAACAAGCAGATTATAAAAAAAAAAAAAAAACAGATAAGATAGAGTATAGAGCACGACAGAAATCCACAGAGAGAAAATGTGCTTTCTGCAATAAGAATACAGACACAGGATTTCAATCCAATGAGTCTGGAGTCGCAGCATCACTTATCCTCAAAAACTGCAGGCTTACATTTTTTCTTTCTTTCCAAAGTTAATGCGAGCTACTCTGGAGATGAGCCTGTGTATTTGATTTAAAAAGACAACGATCTAAAACAGTGAAAACAAAATCTGCGTCTCACAGTGATACAGTGGGGCGGTTATTCAGTATTCCCTCCGCTGCGAGGAAGACGACGCAGCGCTGAGACTCAGACAGATCAATAAGACTCCCACTAGCAGTGTGGGCAGCCGCTTCCTGTTGGCTGCAGGAGTCAATAGCTCTATTAGCACCTGCCTCACACACACCACGGGCAACTCGATGCCCCCTCCGCACCAAAGCGCACAGTCTGGTGAAGATCCCAGCGGTCTCCAATTAACAGCAACAGTCTGCCCCTCATCTTGCAAAAGAATCGGCAGCTAAACAGATACAGTTTGGGAAGATTGATGACTTTCTGCTTTCTTTTGTGTGTGTGTGTGTGTGTGTGTTAATAATGATGAGGCATATCTTTGGTAATGTTAACATAATGATTATGCACATACCTGAAAGTATATATCCAAACAAACTTTCAGTTTGTTCTCTCAGTGTTCAAATCAATAGTGTTTTGTTGGCAAATAATTTGTGAAGTTTGTCATTCTATCTGGAGTTTTGTAATAAGACTGCCGACACATGATGAGTGAGTGCGGCATCATTGTTGGTGGTGTGACGTGAGTTGATCTAATGTCTCTGGCATAAAAGCCAGATGTTCTTCACACTCATCCACAAACCCGACCTCCGCACCCTTTCCTTCCTGCCTTGCCTCGCTCTACTTCCTGTGTTGGCACCGAGATGTAAATCACGCACACACAGATTTGATTGTTTTCAAAGACATGCATGTGTAATGTAAACACACACACACACACACACACACACACACACACACACAAATATACAGACAATATTCCACCAGCCTTACCGTCACAATAAGGCCGCGTTCCTGGAAGTATTTGACCAGAGGGATGGTGTTTTGCTTGAAGTTGGTCAGGCGCCGGTCGATGGCCTTGGGGTTGTCGTCGGGTCGTCCCTGCTGCTCGGCTCGCTTCTGCAGCCTCTCCTTCAAGCGGTGGTTGGTGCAGGCCAGGAACAGCACCAGGTCAGGAGTGCAGATCTAAAGAAAGGGAGAGAAGACGTGCGAAAGGTTTTACAGTCAACGCTGCAACCTCTCAGCTCAAATCTTTCATTCATACGCGATTTCCATTTTGACCTGACCCAGAGGAAACTCCACCAAACCAGAGAACCAGCGCAGGCGTAGTCTCAATTTTAAATTATGTGCACTCAGGTCAAAATGTCAACCATTCAATTCACAGAAGAATAAACGCTTTGCTCTCAGGAAAGTCTGAAAATATTGAATATCCTTTCTTTTTTTCCTTTTTTTTTTTTTTTTTTTTTTTAATTAATTTCAGAGCAAGTCCCCCGCCTGAATTTCACTGGATTGAATCAGTGCCATGAAGATTTTAGATTGAAGCCTTGAAATAGCCTGCAGCTGCTCCTCTGATGATGCAGCTTTAATACAGGTGTGATTGTGAGGCGGACAGGATGACACTGTGCTCTCCCGACAGGAGACGAGAACATCATTATCTGCCCCGCACACAGCTTTTCTTTGTTTTCGCCCCGGCTCACTGCGTTAGACAAACAGGAGAGAAACGAGACCGCAGACGATGACATGAAAGTATTTAAAAAAAAAAAAAAAAAAAAAAAAATCATTTCGTAACAGAAAATGAATTTTAAAGTGCGATCACACGCGCAGCTTTGTCCCATAACTGTGACGACAGCTTTCTATTTCGAGATCAGACGTGAAGAGAAAGCCCATTCCCCCATTTCATCCGTTTGTGTGAATAGTGCAGTGATTACTTATTACTCTTTGTTGCCAACCAGAAAACTGATCACTCTGCATATAAATAATTCTTCTCTGGTTTATTTGTTTTTTTTATTTCACCTGTTCTGCCTTTGCAAATGTTAATTTTAAATTTTCGAAATAGTGAATGAAGAGAGATGCTTAAAGCAGCACTACTTGATTATTTTGGCCACTAAGGGACAAAACACAACCCTGACATCATCACTTTACAAAGTTGACATGGTGAACATCTTAGGAAAAAGGTTCCTATTTACATGTCCAGCAAAAGCAGAGCGACATTCGCGTTAATTTTCCTGTCTGTCGTCCTATTTGTCCTGTCTAATCTGTCTGCTGTTTGGTGCTGGACTTTTCGCATATAGTGAGTTTGTGCTGCAGCTGCTTATTGTGCTGCAAGTTGTGCTTTGTAAAACCAAAATGCTAAAATGCTCTGTAGAGTGAAGGGGAACTGCAGACTGAAGAGATCAATCTTTTGATTGTTGGTAACTATGAGAGCCTTTCACATTACATATAGCAATAATATCTATTGTTGTTATAAAAATACTGATAAGTGCAGCTTTAATCTATTTCCAGAACTTAATATGCAATTAAAGCATTTTATTATGTCGTGAACCTTGTTTTGATAAAGAGTAACAACAAATTAGATCACCTTTATTGCTACATCTAACCAGCATATATAATATCAATATAGATATACAGCTAAATGAATGTACAGAATCAACAATACATAGTAGAAATTGTGTAGCTCTGATATACACTCAGCTGCCAGTTTATTAGGTACACCTAGCTAAACATAATGCAGTCTAATGCAACAATCCTGCAATAATCCTCCCACCATGAAGGTTGCACTGTTGAGTTTCTGTTGAGGTGTTGATTCAGCTTCATGATCACTTTGGAGAATATAGTTCATGGTGCTGTTAAACTGAATTGCATGATACAGTGAGGTGTTTCTGTTATTTGACCTACCTCCACTGAAATAAATGGGGTTGACAAACTAATAGAGACATCTATCAGTGTAATTCCACACATGAACACATGATATATCAGTAATATAAGCAGCATTAAGAGCGTGAACGTGTGTAGAAACCATAACCAGTGAGAGTGTAAGTAGGGGAGGGATTAGCTAAAATGAATTTCAGCTTCCTCAGACACATCAACATCAAGCAGTGAGGAAAATGATATTGTTCTGCTAAAATTACTACAATCAGGAGATGATGAAATGATTACGACAGGCCTACAGCACCTGTTACCAAGATATAATGGAGGGCAAATTAACAATGAACTATTTCGGTTCAAGGGAAAAGGTCAGGCTGTCAGCAACAGCACTGACTGATCTAAGTAATAGATATTTAATTTGTGACACTCCAATGAGCTTGACCGCTTCTATTTCACAAAGTCCAATACACAAAGACATTCCTTAGTAACCAACGAGTATGTAAACCAAACAGACTGACGTATGTGCGCTGGGTATTTAAAGTTCAGTGTAGGATACTGTTATCTATCTAATGCAAACATTGAAATGAAGTAACTTGGTTTCTATGGTTCTGGCCTCCAGTTTTATAAAACGGTCAGAGCGTTAAATAATCTCCTCATCTTGGACCTGACATCTGCTCACCCATCCCACCACCAGCAGGGACTTTCCTCCATAAAAAGCCTCAAAGGTGGTTTATTACTACCCATACTCTGCCGTTTGTTTTGCCTCCTGTGTTAGATGAAATGCACATGATGAACACTCCAGAGTCTGCGTTTGATCTGGTGCTCTGCCAGAGCCAAAAATAGCTCCGACGGTGTTGTTTATTCAGGCGCATGCCACTCCGGCAACAGTCTTCGAGTCAGTCTTTGTAAATGAAAGTTTACATTTCCATAGTAACCACACTTGTATCCTTGTTTTTTTTTGTTTTTTTTCTTAGATTTTACTGTTAAATGTAAAGCAGCAGTCAGACCCCACAGTTACTGCTAATGAGAACTAGGAGTGTCTTCAGAAATTTACCATCTGCACATCAGCGAGTAAAGAGGCATCTACTGTATTTAAAACGATGCTGGCAGTTCACACTCACAGTCCTAAATAAGGCACGTGAGCAGGCAGATGTTGAGATGTTGACCTGATCGCTGTGCCAAGCGCTGTGCACGTTCTGCTAAATGCTCTCGATCAAAAGGAAGGAAATAAAGAAGAAGCTGAGAAATAAACTGATGGCAGAGATTCAAGTACTGAAATTCAGAAAATGTGGCTTCCTGTTGTGCTTCAGAGGAAAGTCAACATCCTTGATAAGGCGAAACCTTACATACATAATACTGATACTCCCACATGCAAAATATAGCCTGCTTGCCTTTGTGCAGTTTTTCACATTTGAGGAATTTGTCTGACACATTCATACTGATTATTTTTGCTTGGTTGAAACCACTGGGTAAAAACCTTTTGGACCAGGTTTTTATCAAGTTTTTTATTTAGTTTGGTGAACCAGACCTCGTATTAGATAAGAGGTCGTTTAAAACCAAAGCTGATTCCAGCTATTCAAAGTGGAGCTAATCGTTATGGACTGACCTTCTCCGGGGGTTCATACCAGTTAAGGTTGGTACATGAAGAAAGAGCTGAATGTGGGCGTCAATCCAGAGTACTGTTTGCCGTTGGTTAATTTCGTCCTGTTCGGCTCTCTTAAGTATGTGGAGCTGCTGACTATCAGACATTTCAATCTGTCTCCATAAGCCCAGCCGTTTCCTCTCGAGCTGCCATCCCGCCGTTCTAATGGAGGACTACAGACTTCCATACTCAGATGTCTCAGCGAGTTTTGAGTGGTATTAATCTTTACTTGTCCAAACGAACAGAACCAAAGCAGTGCACATACAGTAACTCCAATACATTTCACCATGCGTTCCTGGAGCCTATGCACAGCCCAAGGTGACAGCTTCAAATTGCTTCTACCGTTCAACCACTGGTCAAGAATCCTAAGATTCTCTGTCTACTATTACTTAAGACAAAGAAATGCAGAAAATCCTCATATTTGAAAACCAGGAAACATCCAATATTTTGCATGTTTGCTTGAAACAATGACATAAATGATTCACTGATTATCAAAACAGTTCTTGATTTATTCTCTTTTGTGTAACTAATCAACTCTCTAGGCTTTAAACAGTTTATTAAACAGTCTATTAAAAATTCTCCACTAATCCACCTTTATAATGAATATTAAGATTATCGAAGTTCAACCTGGGTTTTCTAAGAGCCATGATTTGTGTCCCAAAGTGACAAGAAACCCAGGTTTTCATCTGTGAAGTCAGTAAAGGATGAACCTTAGCCTTCATCTGTAACCTGTACAGATTCTGTAAATGTCACCTTCACACTTTTTTCTGCTTATTCACACTGAATATATATCTCGGTGTAACCTCACAGGAAATGAAAGAGGTGAAAGCTTTTTTTTTTTTTTTGGTCTGGTAAAGCAGGGGAGCTTTGTATAAGAAGAATTATATAACATTACTGTCTTTGCAACTTCCCCTTAAGCCTCCAGAAATCTCACGGGAGGAGGTGGATGAAGCCGTGTGCACTTGCAATATGCAGTAATTAATTTCAAACTCTTCTCAGGGCGTTATGTTGAATTTCCCTCTGATGTTTGAGGGGAATGTGCAGGGAGAGTAACGACACACACCGAACACGCTGCCGCACAGCGGAACAGCTGCTGCTCTGTTTTTGCCACTTTTTCAAAACCCTCGTGATCGTTATTTACGAGACAAGGTGACAGATTCGTGCATCAAACTGATCAATGTCCAACTGGCACTGCCTCACAACCGATGAGAAACGTACTTGTTTTGTCCAACTGAATGATATCAAACAGAGAGAAGCAGCAAGTCCTCACGTTTGAGGCAGGAACTGATGCATGTTTGGTCTTTTTTCTTTGATAAAAGACTTGATTGATGACTACCAAAACTGATATATATATCATATATGTGTGTGTCGTGAACTCAGACACTCACACAGGGAGACTGACAGGGATAAATAGAGAAAAAGACACCTCCACACTCAATAGGACTGTTTGCAAAAAGGCTCGAGGGGAGGATGAAGGGATAGACGGTCTCTCTGGACGGCTATAAAGGGGAGCGAGACGGTTGCAGCGGCGCACAGGAGCAGGCTCAGAAATGGCTGCTGTGATGTGGTAAAGGGCAGAGTAGCAGCATGGAGTGTGTGGAGACTAATGAAAATGGATACTGTGGGTCCTCAGAGGATCACTCGGTCACCCCTGAGCTCACACAGTGCCGGGGAATAT